ACTACTCACTAGTCATTGCCCCAGGCATGTGATTTCCTTCCAGGGGAGAGGGGACTCTGCATTGCATTTCCATTGCAGGGCTTGTAGAGAATAACCAAAGGACTCCCAGTTCATAACCTGCCTTCTGCAGTACCTGCAGTTCTTTGGGTTAGGAGACAAGTGTGTTTTTGGAGCAGGCTCGGAGACATTCGTGTTTTCTTTTTGTGAGCGCTCTGTGAACGCATCCCTTCCTTCTCTGGCAAAAGCCTTGACGTGCACGCTGTTAGCCTGCTCCTGGGAGGGCCCCTGGGACTCTCCCAGCTGCAGGTATCCTGCTGACTGGCAGGAAGGATTGCGTGGTTCAAACGTGACAGCAGCGGTTGTTGCCTCAGGGGAAGGAGTGAGACCAACCCTTGGAGCTGGAAGCACTTAAAAGAGCCAGTTCTGAAGGCATGAGCAATCCAGGCAGGTCAGCAGCTCATGATAAATATGACGTGAGAGGTTTGAGTCTTGCAGCCCATTCTTCTGAAAAAGATCTTCCTTTTTGGACAGAAAAGGTTCTCTCCCATATCCCGGTGATGTTGCCAAGCTCTGTTTTCTCGTTATGAAGAGAAAACAGAATGAAAATAGGTCAGTCTGGCTCTGCAATCCCTGCCCTTTTCAGGGCTGTGCTGTTTGTGATGTTGATGGGCAAATGGATGTATTAAAAAAAAAGAAATCCCATTTCCTTGATTTTTTTGCAGTGCCCACCACACTCATCAGAAACATCCTCCCACGCTCACTGCAGTGCACGGACTCTGCAATGATTCCCTGTTCTCTCTGCATGTGGAAGTTGGAAGAGTTGGGTCACAAAGTAAAATCCAGCTCAGTGCGTGGCTGTTTTGATTCAGGCCTGTGTAGGAGAGGCAGAGGCACTCACATATTCCTTTGGTTATTTAATGGCCTCTGTCTGTTCAGGGCCTTTGAAAGGTGCTCTTGCTGCTTTTGGCCGTGGGCTGTGGTGATTAATACGAACTCTTTGTGAAGAGATTTCCTCTGCGTGGAGAAGTCAGAGGCGAGCGCTGGTTTTTATTGCTCGGCACAAGCCTCGACAGCTTTTATCCAGGCCCACACCAGTCCCCAGGGGAACACTGTGGTGTGCAAAGTTCACAGGCTGGAGAGCCAAATCCTATAGATTTCACGGAGCAGACAAACCCTCTGTCAGTAAATTAGGAGTTGTGGCCTTTGTGCCTCTCAGTGTGCTGGTGTGTGAGCTTTGCAGCCGGGCTGGAGCCCGGAGCGTGGTGTTCCCAGCAGCTCCAGGCACAGCTCTGCAGGGGCTGGGCTGGGGTATGGGCAGAAGGGTTTCAGCTGCATGGGGAAGTGTTTGGTTTTTCCTGGCTCAGTGCTGGAGGAAGCAGGAGGGGAGGAGGAGGCTGCCAGGGACTGCAGGGCAGCACCTTAGCACCTGGTTAACCTCCAGACTCCTTGTGAGAGCCTCTCTGACTGAGACCCAGGGCTGTGGCCTTCTTGTAGTTTGGTAGTGTTTCTTTTATCAATAAAAATCACTTTGAGTTGAGGCATTTGTTCAACTTCCCTTTTCCCCAAAAGCAACCTGTGAGATCCTGGCCCAAAATGAAAGAGGAGTGAGCAGGTGGGAGAGAGAGGAGGGCCAGCATGCTTGTTCCTTATCAACTCCTGGCCCCTTAGAACACCAGCAGAACATGAGTGGCTCATCCCTCACCACCTGTAAGAGGACGTGGTGCTTGCCAGGCAGTGGAAGTGGCAGTGGAAGAACCGGTTCCTGAGCACCCTCTAAGGCTCTCGTGTAACCCTGCCTTGTCCTCTTTCCACTGGAAATTGCCTGGAACATGCAGAGCTGGTGCTAAAGAAAGAGGACTCTCGTTTGTCCACAGGCTCCTCAAAGCACAGACTCTCTCAGATGTTTCTTGTCAGAAGTGTTACCTTGGGGCAGCACTGGGGTGTGGTCACAGGGCCTCTCAACTGCTGGTTCTCTGATACACAGCTGGTTTTGGGGGTGGAAGGGTTTGACGTGGGGGAGGAAGGAGTCATTGCAGAGTGTAAACTTTGCTCTGTGTGTGTCTCACGGCTCACAAGAGAAGTTGGGCTGCGTGAGCCCTGAGGGCAGAGCTGGGGGCTGCTGCTGCAGTCAGCACGTGTACCTTGTGTTGCTGGTGATTCTCGTGCTATCAGGGGTACCTGAACAAAGAAACAGGTTTAAAATACAGTGACCAAGGATTTTTATTTGGTCCTGACTTAATAGGACAGATCCCACTCACTTCTGCACTGTCCTGACCTTCCAGTGATCCCAAGGAGTGGTTTTTTTTTTTGGAAGTCCCTCTGGATGGAGGCCTGGCCCAGTGCAGTCTGAGCAATAGCAGCTCAAACATTCAGCTTTCTCAGTCCTTATGCAGGGAGAGGCAGTGTTGCTCCTCTGCTGTCCTTTATTCTTTAGTACATGCTCTCTTTTTCTGTAACACTTCTGCAGAGCTTCTCTGCTACTGTTTGCTGTGAGCCCCCAGCAGATCAGGCATGGAATAGAAGATTATAAAAACAGCAGATGCCAACCAAAGGGGCTGGGGATGGGCAGATGCCACTCAGACCCTGCTGTGCAGGACACTTGCTTTGTAACAGCTGGCCAAGTTGTCCTCCTGTGCAGCACAGGGAGTGTGTGCTTGTGCATGGAACCTGGGCATCACCTTGGAAAGCTGATGGATCTCTGGGACAATCTGGACTCACCAGACTTCCAGGGAATTCCCCAGCCCGCTGGTGCTCAGCAGCCTGAGCACTGGCTGCTGACTGGAGGTGTCCAGAGTTGTCTCAGGGTGTTCAGATCGAGTCTGACAGTCACAGATCAAGTTAGGCAGTCACACACAGTCCAAGGCATAAAGCTCACTTGGGGAGGCCTCCTTAATAACTTGGTCATACTCTTCAGCTCAGAAGATCTGTGTGCCTGATTTACTCCTTTTGCCCAGGGATAGTGAGAGCAGCAAGTCAATGTGAGTATTGTTCTTCCCTGTCCTCCTCGGAATAAGTGTTATTTGTTTTCCTGTTGTAGACTGGTTTGGGCTTCTAGTGCTATAAGTGCAGGTCCTCCAGCCTTCCTGGTGCTCAGCAGCAGCTTGTTTACACCCCTTTCCCAGCTCCACTCTCTGCTCTGCACTTTATTTCCAGTAAGTTCCTGACTTGCTGTCACCTCAGATAAGTCACTTTTCCATCCTCTGCTTTCCCAGCTGTGGAGGGAGAATTGTGCCTCTCTACAGAGCTGAGAAGCTTTGAGAGTGCCACAAAAGGAGCCAGATACAGGCTGGCTCTATTCATTGTGCTTGACAACTCAGTAAATAAAACTTCACTCAATTGCTCGCTCTGTAATTCACATATAAAAGACCTGTCATTCTGATCTCTCCCACACCATGCTTGAAATGCAAAGGATGGAGTGAGACCTCCTAGTAAAGCAGCATAATTTCAGCACAGCACAAAATGGGCTTTGAGGGTATTGTCATAAATAACATAATGCACCTGCCTTGGCAGGAAGAGCAGAGGGCACGTGTTGAACCTGCCCTTTGTCACGGCCTTCCAGAATTTACCGTTGATCTTGTGACACTTGATAACCCTTCTGGACCCTCAGAGGGTACAGGAAATAGTCTGGCTATCCAGAGGAAGGCAGCAGTTCATGCCAGGGGGGTGCCTGGTTTTTCCTCCTCGAGAGGAATTAATAAATATTCATCATCTCTTGGTATCCAGGTTCTTACACCTTCAGCTTCAAAATGCAGCCCGGTCACTGTGCTGGGTGTCTCATCCCTGTGCTGAGGGAGCCTGTTGTTGTTGCAGTATAAGTCCCTTGGGCAAGGGATGTCTCACATTCTCTCTGGTTTGTCAATGTGCTCTGAGCACACAGTTGGTAGTTGGCCAAGAAAGGCTTTGGTGGTAAAACCAGCTTCAGATGTTCCCACCCTGCTCTGGGGTTCGCTGCCTCCTCCCCTGTCGCAGAAGTGGCACAGGGAGAGAGGTTGTGCACATCCAGCTCAGGCATCACCCTCTGGACAGGGGCAGTGGGCAAGGAAACGTCTCTCCTGGAGCAGAAAGCACCAGGTGGGTTGTGGATGCAGAAGATGGATGGTAGCTGTGGTCCCATTCCAGATGTTCATCCCAGCCTTGAGACAGTGGAAGAATCGTGGCTCTGGTCTGTGTGGCCGGCGTGGAGGATGGTTGGTGTCTCTCACGTGGTGTTGGTAGCCCTGCAGCACCTTGGGGAAGCACGTGAGGAGCAGAGGGGTGGATTGGAATGGCTCTTGCTTACCAGGGTGGTGGAGCCAAAGCAGCATTTCCCACTGCAGAGCTATCCCACGAGGCACGGGAGAGCTTTCAGCACCGTGCTGAGTTGTGTGTTAGGTCATTGCTGGTTCTTCCTGGGTTTCCTGCAGAAAATAGGACTGTGCTGGGCTGAAAGCCAGTACTGCCTAGGCCCTGGATTTAGGGAGCTAGGCTTTGCCAAGCTGCTGCACCCCACTGTACCCCTGACACCTCGTGTTTCCAGGCAGGTCAGTATGGACACGACCAGACCTTGCCTGTCTGCGCTGCTTTCCCTTCCCTGTGCTCACCTTCTCGCTTTGACCTTTCCCTTCCCTCTTTGTGTCCCCACTGAATGGCTGCCAGCCCCTGCCAGCTCTGCCCTTAGAGCTGCCACTTGTGATTCCTGAAAGGCAGAGTGAGTGAGAGCCTGGCAGGGAGCAGTCATTTGTTACAGCAAGTTTTTCTTTCCCCCCCTTTCTTCAGATACAGCACAAAGAATCCCTCTCTGCAGTCGGAGACGGTTCATTACAAGAGAGGGGTAAGCCAGCAATTCTCCCTGCCTTCCTTCAAGATTGACTTCTCAGAGTGGAAGGATGATGAGGTGAGTCTCTTCTCAGTCTCCCCTTCTTTCCACACCCCTGTTGTCCCAGAAGCACTGGTCTCCATTTAGTGCCATGAAGTTATGGCTGGAAGACACTTTCTCCCAGCTGCCACAGCGTGTTTTGTGGGTACTTGGGAACTTTACAGGAAGATCAGGCCAACAGGGAGGAAACTTTTGATGTCACTCACTGATCAGCTGGTTTAGGAGAGAGGCAGCAGAGATTGGCACTGGAGCTTTTCCTGGAGGAACCTGCCACTCCTCAGCCTTCCTCTCCCTGCTGGCCAAAGAGCTTGTGGGAACAAATACGTGTTTCAATCTCTCTCTTTTGGTGGGTTTTAGGTCAAAGATTTTGGGGTTTTTGGCTGTTCATTTGCAACAGTGGTCTGCAAAGTGAGGTGCATACAAGGCAATTCACTGGGGTGCAGGAAGAACTTCAGTTATACATCTATATATCTCATAAACGATAAACATATAAAGGAATGGTTTCCTCCTCTTAGTTTAACCCATAACTGCAAACAGATCAGGGCTTGGTTTTAATTAAGCTCTGTGGCTATTCCTACACAGCCAAATTTTGGAGTCCTGGTAATTTTGGTATCTTTGCAACATTCCAAGCCAGGCAGTGACTCTCTGCTTCTTGAACCTCTGAGCTTTGGCCCAAGGGCTTCCCCTGCATGTGACCAGAGCAGGGAGGCCTCGGGCTTTACCCTGCTCTGTGCAGAATTGTCAGAAGAGATTTCTAAGGCAGAGGAGTTCGTCTGTAGCTGCTGATAATATATTTTTACCTGTGGAACCCTCTCCCAGAAAATCAACACTGACAGAGTGTTCAATTCCTGACCCCAGCCTGTGTAAGAGTATTGTGTATGTGAATCCTGGTAGATAACTACCTATTTAAAAGAAAAATTAAAGAAAAAAAAAAAGGAAAAAAAAAGGGAAAAAAAAAAGGAAAAAGTAATCTTTCATGTATCTTGAAAGATTGAATAGCTATTGTCTTGAAGTTATAACTATAATCAGTCCCGTGCCTTAAAAAATGCTGTGGTGGTTACCAAGAGCCTGCAGAGTCTGGTCTCCTGATGTCTTGGCTTCTCTGCCAATAGATGATTTCACAAGTTCAGCCTACAAAAGCCTGGAAGAGCTGCTTTTCAATCCCTTCTGTTGTCTGAGAGAGCTGGAAAGCAGGAGCTCAGATCCCTTTCTTCTTAAAGAATTGTGAAGCTTAATTTTCACTTTTGTTCCTGTCAGCAAGGTTTTAACTCAAGAACTAAAGTCATGTCCCTTTGACAGCTAAAAGGGAGAGATGCTGTAGAAAAATGAGCTTTCAGCTCCCCTTGCTTGTTCTGCTGCATCCTCCTCTTTCTCTTTTTTCATTGGTGTTACTGGAGCTGGAGAAAATGTGGAATGAGCACTATGATTTGGAAGAGTTTCTCCTCCCATTTCAGCTCTCTGTACATGCCAGTTTTGGTCCTAAATCTTCTTACACTGGCCACCAAAACGCAGCCCTTTTATCTGGCATAGCTGACAGTGTGTACACTCAGCTGTGCACAATTGCACATTTCAGATTTCTTTCCAGCTTTGTCCAAAACCCCCCAGATTTATTTCATATTTTTGCTCAGTGTAATACTCGGATGTGACGTCGTTCTTGGCTGGCCCACAGAAGGGACAAGTAATGTTATGTTGGGTTGTTCTGTGGAAAGCTCTATAAAAGTTTGCTTTGTCTTCCCGAAACACTGCTTTGCTTGGAATTTACAGAGTGTGGCTTGTGTTGAGCCAGTTGTGCTCAGGGCTGTAAAAAAATTAATGTGAAATGGTCCCTTAAAGAGGCCTTTTGTGTTTGAGAACTCCAAAGTTTATAAGGTAAAGCAACCTCAGTTCTGTGATGTGACTTTCCCTTCAAATGGCCCAAGAACAATTTCTGTCACGCAGTAATAAATCAGAGCAGGAAGCAAAGCAAAACCATAAGCTTTTTCAGCTATTTTAATCCATTGTCCGGGGTGAATTTTCCTTCCGTGCCGTGCCAGAACAGTTCAAAAATGCAAGCTGGAAAACAGTGGCTCAAGGAGTCTGTTCTGTAACAAACACTGAGAGGTTAAATGAGATTTTGTTGTTGTTGTTGTTTGCTCTGTTTTGGAAAGAGAACAGGTGTGTTATATCCCAGTGTACAGGTGTCATTCCTTTCAGGATGAACATTTAGGCTATCATCCATTTTCAGCTGTTAGGCTCACACTGAGGGTCACCCTCCCTGCAGTCTGGGTGGTTTGGGTGGCCATTTGTGCCAGTGGCTGCCTTGATAATTAATTAATTAATCAATCTTTTGAGGGACTGGCTGGAGCCAATCACACTTCAAATGATATATTGGGGCTGCAGGAAATTTGGGGGAGCCTCAAAGCACTACCTGGATGGTGCTGCAGCACTCGGAATTGAGTCTCAGTTTTCATGCGAAAACTGAAAACAGACTACCTGGAGCATCATAGTGAAATGACATGTTTTTTTTTTTTTTAAGTCTTGGCAAGAGATGAGACAAAAATCTCCAAGTCAGTAATTAAAAAAATCACCAGAAATCCAGTCTCTGAGCCACTTCCGTTCCTGGCATAGGACAGTGTCTGTAAGGTTGCCTTTTCCTTGTGTTTCTAAGATGACACAGAGCTTTTGAAGTGCTTTAATGAAGTGCAGGGCAAAGGGAGAAGTTGAGTCTATTTTCCTTGCACTCAAGTGAGTGATCTTAAAATTTCGCTCTCACCAATTAGAAGGTCGAGGACCTGAATTTCATAACATGCCAGGAGATGGAAGTCAGTCTGGTGTTTCCTTCAGGAATGTGAGCTTGAAGTTTGACAGATTTTTCTCCTCAGGAACTTCATCCAAGAGTCAGGGTCAGTTTTGTGGCGTTGGGAGCCCAGTGCACTGCTGTGCTAAAGCCTGACCTATCCTGCCAGACACAGGCAAAATTGTGGCATTAAATACATTCCAACAAACCTGTCCTGCTACGAATCACTCAGGAGGCTTTTGGGATACGTGAATTAGTGAGAATTAAATACCATTTGAGACCAGGGGCTGGGGGCCTGTCAGAAGGGACCTTCATTACTCTGCTGTTACAAGATCTCAAGCGTTGTCTGCACCCACCCTGCTGTGACCTCACCTCGTTTCTGTCCCCACAGCTGAACTTTGACCTGGATCGTGGGGTGTTCCCTGTGGTCATCCGAGCAGTGGTGGATGAAGGGGATGGTAAGCACGGTGCTCTGCTCCCTTGGAATTCTCCTGGCTCCCTCTGAGCTTAGGTGGCTCCTTGGAGAGCCTTTCCAGAATAAAAATATTTTGGGAGTTCGCCTCAACTTCCCTTTATTAAAAGGGCCTGGCCAACCATGAGTTCTTGCATAAAAACATACTTCTAAAATTAGCCTGTATTTTTTTACAAGAAAAATGGCCAGGTATTTAGTGTTGGAGGGGTGTTTAGGAGAGCTCCTGGCCCTGCCACCAATGCCAGGCACAAATCGGAGCAAATTACTTTTATTCTTTGGGTTTTGCTTTTCCAGTTTGTAAAAGGAGGAGGGAGGGAGTATTTTCTCCCTTGCTAGGGGTAAGTTATCCTCATAAAATCCTGGAAATGGGCAGAGAAAAGGAAATGGCTTTAAAATGCTCAGGTTACTCTCCAGCCAAATACAGCTTCACTGAGCAGTTTGAAATTCTCCTGTTTTTTTCCCGAGGGTGATGGATGGTTACAATAAAAGAGTGTAACCTTTGAGGAGAAATAATTCCTAATTATTTTAAAATCGTTAATAATTATTATTATTTGGTGATTATTTGTAAAGTGGATTGCTGCTTTGAAGGGGGATGTCCAGTAAATCTTTAGATTGTTACTCACCTTGCACAGGTCAGTCACTTCCACAGTTTTTTTTATGCTGTAGATGTGAAAAAGCCCAGAAACTCATTACATTTTTTTACAGTCTTCCAAGCAGTCTGAAATAGAACTGGATGAACCAATTTAAAGTGTGACTAACAAAGCACTGTGCAACATAAAGGAGATTACTTGTAAAGTGCATCTATTTTTAGTGATTTCAGGCACTGTTAGTAAAATCCACATATATGTATATTTCTTTGCCATAATATAAAACACCTTCCTCTGTTTATGGAACTTTTGGCAAGGGATTTATGCTCTCTAATGTTGGGCATGTCTAGAAGGATCAAAAATAGAACAGGAGGCAGCATGGGAAGCATACATTTATGCACATACCATGCCCAGTCTTTGCCAATAATGTACTCTCGTCTATTTTAATAACCTGGAAAGGCAATTGCTTTTAAATCCTCTCCTGGAAAGAACATCAGCCCAAAAAATATGTGACATTTTAGGAAATTGTTGTGCATTTTGGTTCTTTTTTTAAACTGATGGGCCTGGAAGGAGCTGGCCTTATGTGTTTGGAGCACCTGGAAAACTACAGCTGGCCTGTAACTGCTGGTGTTTAATAAAATTGGATGGTGGTTCCATGCCTTCCCTTCCTTCTGTGGCTCCTCCACCACCTCTGCCTCCCGTTTCCAAACGATGAGTCTGAACAGAATTAAGCAAAAGGGCCCAACCAGTTGGAGCTGAACAGATCCTGAGAGTGCTGAGTGAGGGAGACTGGGATTGTACCTCCCCTCCCCTGCTCTCTGCTTGCTGAGGGAGCCAGGAATGCACCGTTGAAACCTCTGACAGCCCCTTCTCAGTGCTGTTGGATTAAGAAGGAACCCTTGAGTTTGGAAGAGGGGAAAATGTGATGTTTATCTTTGGGGGAGAAAGTCAGAGAACTGGGCAGAAATGTTTCAGTGGCTGGAGCTGGTATGAGAAAGAAATGTTTTACAAGCACGTCTGACTAGAGTGAAATAAAGTGATAAGGGCTGGAAGTGCTGCCAGTTGCTGTTAAACCAGATGGATCTGTGATAAATTCAGGTAATTAAACCCAGGAATTTGAGGGGAGAGCAGAATCCCACGGAGTGCTTTGTTTTACTTTCCCTTTGCAACCTCTGAAAACCAAGGGGGATAGTTTGGAGCAGCCAAGAATGGCTGAGTGGGGCCCACCACAGAGCCCAGTGAGATGAATCAACCGGACGAGATAAGTTTTAAATGCAGGAGAGATGAAAATAGAACAGTTCAGAAATGTCAGTGGACTAAAATGCAACTCTCAAGGTATTTATTTTTATGCTCGTGCTGTTTGCAAGGTTTAACCAGATCTGCTCTTTCCCTCTTTGCAGTGGTAGTTGAGGTCACTGGTCACGCCCATGTTCTCCTGGCTGCGTTTGAAAAGGTAAATGAGTTCTTTTTTCCCTTTGTCCTTGTGTATGTAAACATTTCCACGGGTCATTGGTTTGTATTTATGTAACACTTAGCCCAGTGGAGTCCTGGCTCGTTCCTGGGTGGTGGTGTAGTACAAAGAACCTCTTGCAGCAGCTCCTGTGCAGCCTGTAATTATCATTTGTACCTGAGCTGGTCACTCAGGTAATTGCAGCTGCTGTTTCCTGTGGAAGTTGTTGTCCATGGCTGTTACTGTGCAGTTTTCCAGGGCAGAACTGGATCTGCTGTGTCCAGACCCTGTTGCACCATTGTTTGGCCTTAGTTTACACACAGGGCCAAGCCCTTGGGAAGAATTAGGACACATCCTGCATAAAGATTGTGAGCTTCAGTGCTCTTGGGTGGTGTGTTTGATGCAGTGACCACTGCCTGCATGCCAAGGCCAAGCCAAGCTGTGTGTACAAGCCTTGACAACAAACTCTCTTCCCGTGATAACTGGACCCTCAAAAGAGTTGTAAGATGCATGTCTGGCTGTGGTACCCTGGGCAGGTGATTCTTGTGGCGACAAGCTGAGGTGAGGCCAGAGATGCTGGAGCAGAGCTGGGCATGTAGAGGGGAGCAGCACCAGTGTTGTGCTGTTGGAAATTCTCCACTTCCAGGCTGGCACGTGGCTGACCTCGGTATCCCAATCCGCTCAGTTCCTGTCGTATCCCCGAGCAAGTTGCCAGGTCTTACTTCTCTTCCTCCCAGGTGGATAATGTGGATAGTGAAGAGCTGAGTCAGAGGGCATGGGAAGCACAGTCAGTCCTAAGGAAGCCATGGGGCTGGAAGATGCTTTAAGTGTTCTAGGTTGCTTTTTGTTGGACTTGATCTGTGAAGAAAATGAGGTTTCCAGTGTTAGAAAGGTTGTTCTGAGCACTGGCTCTGTAGGTGGTTTTACTCCTGGCAATTAGAGATGGGCAGCTGCAGCACCCCTGGGATTAGGGCAGGGATGTTATTCTGGTTTCCTCCTCTATCTGATGTGGAAAAGCAAATCACACTGGAATCCCTCAGTCATAGTTCAACCACTTCTTACTTCTCATCTTCCACTGAATGCTTAGAACAAGATTAAAATCTCACTTTTAATAAAAAGTCATAGGGCAGAGTACATGTTGAGTTCACCTTCCTGTTTGATTAAAATATGTTCCCCATCCTTAGAATAATTGCAGCTTTTGAAGTGTAGGTCCATAAATCCAGGGGAGGTCCCTGCTAATAAGCACTGCTGGTCCCCCAGAGGACAGACAGACCAGCAGGACCTGGTAACTTGCTATTTATATGTATCTTTAAGATCAGAATAACAACCTTGATCCTTTGTGTAGTTTGACCTGGCAGCTCTTGCAAAGGTAGAAACTCGTTGGCCTGAAAACAGGACTGTTCTGTCCTTGGTGTGATGTTGTTGTCCCTTCCTTGTGAAACTCCTTCAGCAAACAGACGCTCATCTGCAGCTGTTCACAGCAGCAGGACCTGCTGGAGCATCCCCTGCGTCTCCTTTGCTGCTCTCTAGACTGTGTCAGGAGGGTTGATTTCTTTCTTTTAGTGGCCCTTGTGGATGATGGGGAAAGTAGAACTGGCATCACTAGTTCTGGCACCAGGGTTTACAGAATTGTTCCACCTGTGCCTGCTGCCACTGAGGACATGAAAGGCTCATGGCTCTGAGGGTGTGGAGCAAGTGTGACTTGTTTCTGACTCTGTCCAGTGGACAGACCTTGTTCTCAGCCTCTTGCTCTGTCAAGGCCTTGGCCTCAAGAGTGGCTCTGTCACTGGATGTTATTTAGGGTGTCAACAACCATCCCCTGCCACGTCCTGCTGGACTGGCTGCACCCAGCTGGACTGCTTGCAGCCTGAAAGCACCCAGTGTGCCAGGGGAGTTTTGTGTGTGCTCTGACCACTTCAGCGGGGTTTAACTTGGGCCAAACCTGCACTGGAGCAGACAAGGTGTGCTCCAGTACTCTGTTCCACTAACTCTGCTGGGAGGGATTGCCATCCAGGCTGTCCTGGTTATACACCCCCTCCCCTCCCCATGGCTGGCACACACCACCTCTGAGCACGAGTCTGTTTAATTTACTTCATTTAACCAGATTTTTGATGTAATTTTTCAGCTGTTTAACCTGTTCCCTTTCTTTGCCCTGCTAGCACGTCGACGGCAGCTTTTCTGTGAAGCCCTTAAAACAGAAGCAGATCGTAAGTACCTGTTTTCTGTCTGCTCTTGGTGACAGACTTGCTGGTGTCCCACAGGTGCCAGACTGTACCCAGTGGGAAGGTTTGGTGTTCTCTGAGAGCCTGAGATCTCACCTCATTAGCTCAGATATCCCAAGTGAGCTGCTGGCAGCCCTAAATGTTGCCCTTTTGTATCCCATCTCCGTGTAATGTGCAGAAGTTGGGAGGTGCCTCATCAAGGCTGAAATTGCATCGGTCCTGCATAGACAAAAATTCATAAGCAACTGCTAAGAGTGCCAAGGATTTCAAGTTCTGAGAAGAACTCTGGTAGTCATCCTGCTGCAAGGATCAGCTTGAAGTGTCTTGGAGGAAGAGACGAGATTTTGGTGGTTGATCCCTTCACCCTTAGGGCATGTGCGGTGTTTCTGCTTTAAATGTTTGACTGCTCAGGATGGATGTTTCAGGTTTATTGATCTGAATTAAAAGGCCTTTTACTATCAGTTTGTCAGCTGATGAAAAGCCACTCATTTATCCTGCTTGGATTTTTTGAGGGAGAAGGGGTTTAATGTTTTTATCTCTAAACCAGTGCTTACATGGTGTGAGCTCTCCGGGGCAGTGTTGGGTTGCTGTGCACACTGGGGCAGTGTGTGCATCCTGCTCCATTCAGCACTCCAGACTCCCCACATGGAGGGCTGTCTTGCTGGAAATGCTCTCCAGGGAAGTTCCCACCCTACCACAGTTTGGTGAGCTGACTCCTGCAGTGAAACACTGAGTGCTTGTCTGTCTTTACTGGCAGAGCATGTAACCCTCCCACTCAGTGTTTAGTTGTGGGTACTTTTTTTTTTTTTTTTGTTAGCAGTTAGTAAAATGTAATGTTTCCAAGTTCTCTCCTGGGGCTTTTGGAATAGAAGGAAGCTCTTGTTAAAGAACACACAGTGCCACCGACACTGAGATGGCATCTGTACCCTTAAAAGCACAGAGCAGAGGTGTAGAGTCTGTGCCTGGAGCAAACCACGTTATAACATTGTACATTCTTTGCCATACCTGCTTTCCTTGTGTCTTCCCCTGCCTGCCATTGCCAGGATTGTGGGTACCTTTTTTGGGCATTCATCTCTAAAGCTCTTTGGGAGCAGGAAGCAGCAGCCCATGGGCTGAACTGCCTGGTGCTGTGTTCAGTTAGAGTGTAAAGTACCAACCTGTTTACAGAAATCCAGCCTGGATGAATGCAAACAGATGGATCAGCAGAAAAACATAACCTGGACTTGGCCAGTGGTTCCTGTGTGCATCCAGTGAGGCTGTAAATAGCAACAGAAGCCTTTGGAAGGATGACTTTGTGTGGAGTGGGTTGGAGAAGGGTGAAGGTGAAGGACTGCATTGACTGCAATCATCTACTCCTTCTTAATTACTCCTACTCTTTTAAAACCTAGAGTTCTTTTTACTAAGAGCTGTTGCACTGCTCACCCTTTCCCTGCTGGGACATGAGTTTCTCAGGATTTTTAGAGGAAAGCAGATAAAAGGAACTCGGGCTCCTGCAGAGACTTTGATCTCTCCCTCCCTGACCCCTTCTTTGCTTTGAGCTGACCACTCCTGCACTCCCCATCGCTCATTGTGATCCTCCAAGGAGTCAGGATGCTGTAACAGGGCTCTCTTGGAAATGCCAAGTTACAAAAGGACATTTCCCTCATAATTGCCCCCAAACTTCCCGGGTGAGCTGTGAGCTGCTGCAGAGGGTTTCGCTCAGCAGTCCAGCAGCTGATCTCATTGCCATGAAATGCAGGCCCAGAACAGATTGCCTGTGAGCTGCACACTGAGTTACACAGGGAGGCTCTGGAATTAGTGTGTTAACATTGCCATGTGCCAGCTCAGAGCATTTCTGAACTGGCAGATGGGCTGGATACAGCTCCCTCCTGCCCCTTTCTTGGCCTGTGTCATCTTCTGCAGCACTGGAGTCCCGTGGAAAAGCCACTGCTCTTCTGAGCACCTGGCTTGACTAGAGGAGAGGGGAGGGGCCAGTTACATATGGAAATGCCAGAAGCCCTGGGATTGACAGCTCTTGTGGCACTGGGGTCCTGGGGGCTTGGCTTCACTGCATGTTGTCAGCTGGACACGGAGGTGGCAGGGAAGTGTTTCCTTCCCCTGCTTGTGACATATGTCTGTCTGGTACCTGGCAACCCTTTTACCTGTTGGAAGGTTTAGTGCAGGCAAAGCAACACATCCTGCTCTGGAGCACCAGATCACAGAATCCCAGGATCATTTAGGTTGGAAAAGACCTCCAAGATCATCGAGTCCAACCTTTGACCAACCAGACCAGAGCACTGAGTGCCATGTCGCGTCATTCCTTGAACACCTCCAAGGATGGTGACTCCACCATCTCCCTGTGCAGCCCTTTCCAGTGTTTAACAACCCTTTCTGTGAAGAAATTCTTCTTGATGTCCAACCTGAGCCTCAACTGCTGTTACAGATCCCTCTGCAGAGCCTTCCTACCCTCCAGGAGATCAACACTCCCACCTAACTTAGTGCTGCCTGTGAACTTGCTGAGGGTACACTCTATCCCCTCATAAACAAAGATGTTAAACAGGACTGAGTCCTGGGGGACCAGTATCTCTGTGCTTCCTTGCAGAGGCTGCCCCTCACAGCTGTGAGAGGCTCGTGCTGTACTTGAGGGCTAAGCTGGAGAGCAGGGGAGAACCCCCAGTGCAGAGGGACTTGCCTTGCTGGGACTTGCCCCATCAGCCCTCCTTGTGTCAGTGCTGTGGTTCAGCTGCCCAGGGGGTTTGCAGGCAGCTGAAGTCGTGGCTTGGGGGGAAGTGTGTCCCTCTGATTAACCTCCAGCTGTGCCTTAGAACACTTTCTGCCACCACGCCTCCCGTTTTGGAGGTGCCACCAAGGGCCTGGGGATGGCAATCAGTGACACTGCACTAATGTAGGGTTGTCCATCGAGTGCTTCTTGTGCTAAGGGAAATGGTTTGTCTGTCCTTAGAAGCCTGACCTTGTGCTCCCAGGGGATGGACAGGGAGGTGATGTGCCACCACTGGTGTGCCAGGAAGGAGCTGTTGGCACAGCCTCTCTCTGCTCAGGGTGCAGATATGGGTAGAAGTTCATCTTGGTTAAAGTTAAGTAGTACTCCCCCAGAGGACTCTGGAAGGCTGATTGCCTCTGGGATTATTTGAGCTACGGGTGTGTATTCCCTCTTGATCTCTGAGACAAGCAGAGTACTCGTTTTTTAGATTGTTTTGATAGCCCAGCTGGAGCACTTCTGTTGCTCCCTACCCACACAACCAGGCAGGGTGGGCAGCACTGAGCAAGGAGAGACTCACTCTCCACTCTCGTTCTCTGTCCTTTGCCATGTTTGTTATCTTCCACGTTGCTATAGGGAAGCTGGGGGGTGTAACATGGACATTTTGGCACGGGGAGGGAGGGAGGGAGGGTGGTCACAAACCAGCAGTGACAGAGCAGCTGGCACTCCCAACTGTTGTCCTCTCCCCCAGGTTGACCGGGTGAGCTACCTGCTCCAGGAGATCTACGGCATCGAGAACAAAAACAACCAGGAGACCAAGGTAAAGATCCTTCCTGAGCTGTGGGTTCGCAGCCTGCACCTTCTGCTTTGGAGCCCAAACTGTGGGAATTTGTCAGGGCCGTGTGGAGGTGCTTCCCAGAGTGACTGTCAAGTCTTGTGTCATTCCTGCAGGCGCCAAAGATGGCCCAGGGATGACAGGTAAGGGACCAAACAGTCAGTGGAGCTGTGCTGGGGTAATTTTAGGCAGCACGAGGCTCTTGAGGATGTTCCTTGGGGCTGGGATTGCTGGGAGAGAAGGGCCTCTCCTGAAACGCCCTCCTGAAACACCCAGCTTTCTACAAGCCCTAAAATCCAGTGCTCTGAAACACCCCCCATGGGGGGTGTTTCAGAGCACTGGATTTTAGGGCTTGTAGAAAGCTCTGTGTGTGTGTTGCTGCCTCCCTGCGTCAAGGCAGTCGTGTCTGGTGTCTGTGCTTTGCTCCTGTGGGTCCTTCACGTTCTCCTGGCTGGGAGTTCTGCATGTCCCTGCAGTGTTCCAGAAAACTGAGCTCTCTAAGGCTTGCCAGTACCCAGAGAGCAGCCTGCATTCCCCAGCAAGAGGGAGCACAGCATCCCTAAGGGATGTGTGTGCAAAGGCCGGGACCAGAAACGTTCCCATCTTGAGGCAGGGGCTGCTGCTGGATCCTTCAGCCTTTCCAGAGCTGCCCTTTGCTGCCACCTGGGCTGTGGAGTGTCCCCAGTGCTGGCTCTGGTGTGTAGTCCATGATTTGCAAGCAGAGCAGTAACCACAGAGCAAGACAAGCAGGATTCCCTCTCCAGGCAATGTAATATCCTTCCCAGAGCATCCTGTCATCTGCCTGTGCCAACAGGCAGATCCTGGAGAGGCAGGAGGGAGAAGCCTTTTCCAAGATTTTTTCTTGCATAGGATAGGTTTTAAGAGGATTGAAGGCTTCTTTTGGGGGTCCTCCAGGGTCTTGTAATGATTTTCTCTTGATCCAGCAATCGCACATTTGTGGCCCAGTCAGACCAGTGGCCTTGGAACCATTTTGTTCTTCCTGGTGTGCTCAGCAAACTGTGTGACTGGGGCCTCCCTCCCTCCCAAAATACCTGAGGAGCAGGTGTGATGGGACAGACAGCCCTGGGCAGGCAGGCAGCAGGCTGGGTGAGGATGTGGCAGCAGCACAGTTGCTGTTTACACCGAGGTTTGCCCACGGCCTGGCCTGTTCTAGCCCTGGTGACCAAAGGAACCTCGTGAAGTGGCACCAGGTGAAGGTGGAGGTGCCCCATGCCTGGCACAACTTCTGTGACATGAGTGGGGAGACTGTGGAGTTTTCTGCTGTCGGTCTTGTGGTTTGGAAAGTGCATTTCTCCTCCCACCAGCAGTTAGATCAGTGTCTGTAATCCAGTTTGTGGGGCTCTGAGTGACTGAGACACGAGTGTGGTGCATGGTCCTGTTGAATGGGTGCACGCAGGCCTTTTTACCAGGGTAGCTGTGGGCAGGTGAACATCCCAGGCTGGTTCTCCTGAGGCTGCACCAAAGCTTGTGCCAGCACAGCAGCTGGTGAAGATGCACAAGGACCACTGACTCCCTCACTTGTTCAGAGCACCTGTGGAAGCTGGGCTGGGCATGGCTGGAGTGCCTCCTGCTGTCCAGCCCCGGGGCAGCCTGACCTGCTGCCTGTCCAGCTCCTTGTGGGGCTGCTCTCAGTGTGGGGAAGAAAGGCTGGAGTGCCAAAGAACTTGCTTCCCTGCTGATCCTGGAGCCACCAGGCTGGAAGGCAGGAGCTTGTTCCTGGTACCCCTCAGCTGAGGGGATCCCTGCCCCGAAGGGGCTCTGGGGAAGGACAGCTCTGCCCTGAATTCCCAGTGCAGTGCCCTGGCCTTCAGGGAGCAGAGCCCTTGGGAGGAAGGAGTGTCCAAGCAGGGCTGTGTGGGCTGGAGTTTGCTCTCCTTCAGAAACCCCCACTGAGAGCTGACAAAAGAGAATGCCAGCTCTACCACAGACTTTTGGGTGGGAAATCTCCCCAGGCTGTGGAGTCCCTTGGCAGTTTGGCATTATCCCTGACCATTCCCATGCCAACGTTTCCCCTCTCTTTGCAGCCCTCAGACGACGAGAACAGCGACAACAGCAACGAGTGTGTGGTTTGCCTGTCGGACCTGCGGGACACCCTCATCCTGCCCTGCAGACACCTCTGCCTGTGCAACTCCTGTGCTGACACCCTGCGCTACCAGGCCAACAACTGCCCCATCTGCAGGCTCCGTGAGTCCCCGTGGGCCTGGAGACACGGGAACCTCCTCCACTTCTCTTAGGGCAGTGCAGGCTGTGAGAGGGGGCGTGTTTGACACAGCCCACCCCAAGACTCAGCATCCCTGCCAAGCTGCTGCTGCTGCTCCCATCTGGAGATGGATGAGAGTGGCTCTTTGCCCAGTGCCTCCCTGGCCACTCATCCTCTCCCTGGGATGGGCCTGAAGGTGAAGGTGCTCTGAGCTGTGCCATGTCAGCAGTTCTTGTGTGGAAAATGGAAAATACCCCAAAGGAGGGGATGCAGAAGCTTTATCCTGAGGATATCTGGCCCAGACAGCAACCAACCCCACTGGAGGGCTGTCCAACTACTTTCTGTGATTTTTTTTTTTCTTATGATAACTTTGCTTTCACCAGGAGGCAGAGATGAGATAAGTCAATTTGGAGTCCTTTGCTTTGCCAGGAGTTAGGAGGATCTGCTTAACCCTTGCATTGCTTAGCTCCCAAAAGATGGAAAAAATTCAGTACCTGTTTTGACACTCAGTCAGCACTTGCTGAATTCCATGTCTGTTCTCAAAAGCACAGGGGCATAGGAATCTCCTGAGAAAATGCCCGTGTTTTTGCTGGAATAGGCATATCATGGGCTTTACCCCCTGCCTGGTCTCTGAGGTATTTGATTGTTTCTGACTGGTAATTCTGAGGAAAAGAAAAAAAGAGCCTAAGACAGATGTTTGGCCTGATGAACTAAGTCTAAACAGTTCAAACATGGCAAAGATGCAGTAACCAAAAGCAAGATCTTACCAGAGGAAGTGCCAGACAGCTTTGGCTATAAGTGGCACAACTTAAAACAGTTACAGCGTTATCTCATCTGCAGGGGAGCAGGTTGCATTTGTTTGGAAAGTGCCCCCGTGTCAGACTTCCTGGGAACCTGCTTCTGGGGAGTGCAGAGGCAGCAAGGACAGACTTGTACCTCTGTCCTCTGTCTCTAGGCTGATCTTGCAGTGGCTGGGTGCACCCAGAACCAGGGGAATGCCTGGCAGGTCCTCTCAGCTGCATCAGAACAGATGTCTGGCTCGTTCAGGGCACAGAGGAACTGACAATATTAAAGATTTGCAGATAGGAAATGGGGCTGTGGGCAGGGGGTGGAGATCAGAGCTGTGGTGGTGGGAGCCCCCCACCCATCCTGTAGATTGCAGTGCACTCCCCAGGCCAAGCTCGTGTTTTTCTTTTCTGTATTGTTGAATGACCCACCCCTTTAAGGGCAACTTCTCTGGGCCTCTACACTTGTGCAGGGGAGCTCCCCCGTGCCAGCAGCGTGTCTGTGGCAAGGCAGGGAGCTCTGGCATGGCCTGGTCCTGCAGGGCTGTGCAGTCACCTGGCTCGTGTTCCCTCCTAGCCTTCCGTGCCCTGCTGCAGATCCGGGCGGTGAGGAAGAAGCCGGGGGCTCTGTCGCCGGTGTCGTTCAGCCCCGTCTTGGCACAGAGCGTTGACCATGACGAGCACTCTGTAAGTACCTTGGGACCCCGGGGGACAAAGCCTGGGCGCTGCTCTCGGCCCGAGCAGGCAGCTGGTGGGTGCATCAGGCCTGGCCTGATGGCTGGTGACGCTTCCTGGTGTCCCAGGGACCTCAGGGGGTTGGCTCAGACCCTCCACCGAGGGCGTCCTGAGCAGTGCAACCTTCCTTGTCAACCTGGAGACTGTGGGGTCCTGGATTAGTGATACAACTAGACTGGAGGAAACAAATCCATAGAAACCTCAGGCTGAGAAGATTTCTTGGGGCCTGTCCCAGCAGAAGAGTGGCAGACTCTGGGCATGACAGGCTTGGAGCTGGGAAAACAGGGCAGGGGGGCTGCAGTTTGACTCGCCCACATCACACCAATGAAATGCCCTTGGCACTGGGGTTCTCGGAAAGGCCTCTTTCTTTGCAGCCTCCCTGAGGGTGTTGGGACACAGCTGAGGGAGCGTGGGGTGGGTGGTGTGGTGCTGGTGGCCTCAGGGCCCAGCTGCATGTGCCCAGTGTGGTGAGGGCAAGCAGCTCTTTGCCCGAGCTGGCTCTGGTGGGGCACATGAGATCAGAGTGAGGAGGAGAACCGCATGTAGGTCATCTTACAGGCTTTCATGGGAACAGATGCTGTCACAGGAAAAGGCTGCCCTCTGCAGTGCTTCAGCCCTGCTGCCTTCAGCTGGGGCTGAGGAACAGGGCAGGGTAGGAACCCCGAGGGCTGCTGTGAAGCAGAGCATGGTGTGTGGAGGAAGCAGGTGCTGTCACCTGCAGCCAGGCGAGGAGATGCTGAGAGTCTCTTCCTGTCACTAACCTCAAGAAACAACTTCCTCAAAACATGGTTTTCTCTTGACAGCGTCCCTTTAAGCCCCTTAAGGTGAGCTCTGTGTCCCTGCCCAGCAGGAAGCCTAGGAGGGGAGTGAGAACAGTAAGTGGCCTGGGGTGGTTGCACTGGGCTCCCGCGGCGTCACCTGCACGTGGCAGTCACACACACAGGGCTTGCTGACACGCTGGGTCCGGCCTGTGCCCCTGCCTGGGCTGTGACACTCCACCTCCTGCCTCCACAGTGGCAGTGAGACACTCAAACCCTGCACGGATCATCACCCACCTCCCTGGTTTGCCTGTGGACAACAAGCAGGATGGAAGCAGCTTGTCACCAGGGTCTGACACCGGCTCTCAGGGACTGTTCCCAGGTCCTGAGCTTGGATGATTTATAGTCCCTGACCAAGATATTTTCACAGTTTCATAGGACTGTGGGCAAACTGCTGTCCCCTTGGCTCACCCAAAAGCTTCCTTGCACTTGTCTCATCCCCTCGGCCGTTCGGTGTGGGCACATCCTGGAGTGGTTTCCAGCCTGGTGCTGGGATGTAGAGCTAGACAAAGAGGCACGGCTGGAGCAGGTCTTGCCTTCAGGAACACTGGCTGCAAGGGGCTGGTTTGCTTTTTCAAAAACAGGAGGGATGGAGCTTGTCTTGTTTGGGGACTCTCCGAGTTGGTGTGGGATTGAGTAACTGGAACACTGTGCTGGGAACAGCATGAATGGCAATTGTGGGGGACCAGGAGCCAGGAAAGGGGAAGGAGGCCTTAGGCCAGAAAGTTTCTGTTTGTGCCCTCTGTGTACTCCCATCAAATACAGCTATGGCTGTTGTTGGTATCAAGGGGGTTTTCTTTTGCTCAAGCCAGCCTAGATGTTCAGTGTTACGAGGGACGTGGCTTGGTGGGCTTGTCAGGTCTGGAGAAAACCAGGCTGGGTTCAGGTAATGAGGCTCTTGCAATTTTGGCACAATGTGGCTCTCTGCGAGCCTCCTCCAGTGACCAGCAGTGCTCCTGGGTGGGGTAGGTGTCCCAGAAGAGAGCAGTGTCTTTTAGGGTTGTTTGAAAGCTCAGTAACTTGCAGTGAGGGTGTTGTAGCCATTGGCTTAGGAATCCTCCTCCAGCCTCTTGAGCTATGCCATGGAACCTGAGCTTTCACCACAACAACCCAAAATAAGCACCCTTTAAACCCTCAGGGAGGACATGGGAGAAGTGGAAGTGGTGTAGGCTCTGAGAACCATCAGCTGGTGCACCTCTTCTCCCCTCCTCCAACTCTGTCTTGGTGACACTGGTGGTGCTGTGAAACAGCTGCATGTTCCATGGCTGGAAGCACAAGTGAGGTGTTCATTGAGCTGGAAGGGTCTCTGAACCATTGGAGGAACTTGTAGGAGAAAAAAAATCCAGATGTAATTTTATAGCAGCTTTTTAGGAACCTGCTTTCTCACCCTCCTTGCCCAGCTCTTGAAGGTGCATCAGAGGGCTGCCCAGCCACGATCCAGCGTGCTGGGATGCCCAGTCTCTCAAAGCAGTGCTCTGGAAACTTGCCTGGAGCATCATCAGCCTTAGAGCCCTGAGGGAATGAGTGGCTGTTGCAGGGGAAGGAGCTGAGGCTGTGGGGATTGGGCTGCCTGGGAGGGCAGGGCTGGGTGGCAACAGAGCCTCCCTATTCCAGGGGGGTTCCCGCCTGGTGATGTTTTCCCAACATCCCCTCTCTCTCTTGCCTGCAGAGCTCTGACAACATCCCTCCAGGCTACGAGCCCATTTCCTTGCTGGAGGCGCTGAACGGGCTCCGCTCCGTTTCCCCCTCCATCCCCTCTGCTCCTCTGTACGATGAAATCAGCTACTCCGGGGTGGTGGATGGGATCCCTCCCACCAGCCGCCCGCTCGTGGCCATGGACAGAGCCCTGGAGAGCGGCCACCAGAAGGGCAAGCGCAGCAAGTCTCCAGACAGGTCAGCATGGGGACAGGGGACACTGCTCCTGCAGGCCCTTAGGGCTTGTGGCCACATACTCTTCGAGCCAGGAGAGGGCTCTGGCTGCTCCCATCGCTGCTGAGTCGGGATTTTAGGAGGCCAGCAGGTACTCGTGCCAGGGAGAGAACTGGGACATCGTCCCTGCGTTCAGCCTGAGGTTACAGCTTGGGTCTCCTAAAGGCTGGCTGTGCCACCAAAAGAAATAGCATTTTTAGCAAGGAGAATTTAATCTTAGAATCATGGAATGGTTTGGGTTGGAAGTGGTCTTAAAGCTCATCTCATTGCAGGCCCTGCCATGGGCAGGGACACCTTCCACTATCCCAGGTTGCTCCAAGCCCCATCCAACCTGGCCTTGGACACTTCCAGGGATCCAGGGGCAGCCACAGCTTCTCTGGGAAACCTGTGCCAGGGCCTGCCCACCTCACAGGGAAGACTTTGGATGGAAATGTCTCCTTCCCAATGCACTTAGTCCCTCAATTTGCATTTGACATGCAAACCTTGTTGGAATTCAGCTTTCCATGGAGCTCCCCAGGGGCAAAAGAATGGGGAGAGAAGTGACCTGAATTTCAGAGCACAAAGAGCTGAGTTGAGATCCTGTAGTTGTTGTCTGAAGGCTCCTCTGTTGGCCTTGGCATGGAAGGTGTAGGTGAGGATGCAGGGCTGTAGAGATAGGACCAGCCTGGCTTTGTTCCTGGCACTCCTCACTGTGCTCCAGCCTAGTTTTCCCCCTGGGAAAAGAGTCCAGAAGGTGTGAGGAGCAGTGTGGGACCTGAGCTTCTTGCTTTCCATGCAAAGGCAGGTTTGTCCAGGCTGTGTTGCCGTGCCAAAGCTCGGCACTCCTTGGCTCTGTGTCACCAATACAGGAGGCCCTGGGGAATTGAGGGAGCTCCTGCTTGTGGGCTTGTGCTGCCCCAAATCCTCCAGGAGCTGTGGTGCTGGTGACTCCCTGCCAATGGAGTTTCTCTTGGCACACAGCACACTACGGTCCCCCTCGTCCCCGATCCACGAGGAGGATGAGGAGAAGCTCTCCGAGGACTCCGACTCGCAGCCGGCGCTGAGCGGGGGTGAGCTGGTCCTGAGGGAGACCAGCTCTCCAGAGGTGAGTGTGTGCTCTGCTGGGGAGCTGCCCTGAGCCACAGCTCTTCTGGGGGGGCTTCTGGGACAGGGGAGGTGTCTTGTGAAGGGCCATTGCCCAGAGCCTTGGCTGCTTTATTTACCCCTAGGGCTCCATGGGGAAGGATGTAGCCACTCCCTGTGCCACTGACCCCTCTTTGGGAGCAGAGGCATTGGAAAACCACTCTGTTGGAGCCATGTCAGAGCTTCCTGGGCAGTGTTTGGGGCAGGGGTGGGAGCTGGGCCTTGCTGGGCTGTAAAACCCCTCCATCCCAGCCCACGGTGCCACAGCACTGGGGGGTGGCCCCTTGCTCCTGCTCTGGAACAAATCCAGGCCCCAAGTGCAGGTCCCTGGAGAAAGCCAGAGCAGGAGAATGGCACAGCAGAGGCCTCCAGCTGCAGAAATAACCTGTGCTGTCCCTCCTTACAGAGCGTGGCAGGGGAAGAGATGGAGGAGGCCTCGCCTGTGCAGCAGGGTAGGTGTGAACCTGGCTGTGGGTGCAGCCATGCCTTGGCTCGGTGTCCAGTGCTGTCGTTGTGGGATGGGGACAATTAGGGAATGAACAAATGAGCTCAGAAACATCCAGTCCCCAAAATCCATCTCTGAGCCTCTGTGCTTAACCAGGGAAAGGTGCCAGGGTCTCTTCTGGGAAGTGGGGGAGGAAAATCCACAGATTTCCGTGGTTTATTTATCTCACCTTGCTCTAAGCAAGTAGAACTTTTTCATGCCCTGGGGCTGTTTCCTTGCACCACCGGGTCCTGCTGAGAGCACAGTCACAGTGCTGGGCAGGCAGGATGTGCCCCATGTCTTTGGGATGGATCTGTGGTGCTCAGCCAGCACCCAGAGGGCACAAGGATGGGGTGAGAGAGGGGTGATGGGCACGTTTTGGGGCCATGAGCCTGCATGTGAAGAGGTGGGTGGCCCTTTGGCACTGTGACCTGGGCCGGTCTGACCGGCTCTCCTGGGACCTCTGCGGGGCTGGGGGGGCCCGGGGAGCTTCCTCACGTGGAAGATCTCCACTCGTGCCGGCCAGGAGACCCCAGGGGTGTGCTGGGGACTGAGGGGCTCTGCTGTGGCTGGTTGCAGGTGGTGGCCGCCCACCCTCGGTGGAGGACGTGCTGCAGGACGGCGGCTGCGGCGAGAGCCGGAGTCTGACACGGTCCGAGAGCGACCCCCCGGTGGACGTGTTCCTGCCAGGTAACGGCCGCGCCGCTGGGGCCGGAGCTGCGAGGCCGTGCCCGTGGCTCCAGAGCCTGGGGGGTTTGGGGAATGTGTTCCTGCCACAGGGCAGCACCAGCTGCACCATCAGATGGGGCAGGAAAGAGCTGCCCGAGCACGGGCTCCTGCTTCCTCCCCGGGGGCAGAGCTGTGGGCGAGGGGGGATAACGCAGAGGTTATCTTTGCCCCGCCTTCTCTCTCCTCCTCCCTTACCCTCGTGTCTCTGTTCTTCCCCTCCTTTCTCCTCTCTGGGCTGCAGCCACTCCATGGCACTTCGTGTGACAAAAGCCTCCTGTGCGCTCCCAAATGTGCTCCTGCTTTTGGGCAAGGGAGGGGAAGCATCTGGGCCGGTCCCTGGGGGGTGGGGCAGTGTTGTCCCCGCGGGGCGGGGCCCCGTGTGCCCCTGTGCTGTCCCCACCTCTGACTGTTGTCGTTGCAGCCTGTTCTCTTCCGTAGAGTCGCAGTCTGTTCTGAGTTACCTCTCTAATGTCTCCTTCCCTCTCTGTCTGCCTTCCTCCCTCCTGTCTTGGGCAGCACTGGGTCCTGATTCCTGCTCTGTTGGTATAGAGGAGTAAGCTGGTATGTCTTCTCATTCTTCTTTACTGTTGTGAGGGGCAGCAGGACCCCTCCTGGGAGCGTGGAATGGGGATGGTCCTGGCCATGGGGCAGGGAAGGAAGGGGCAGCAAACCAGCCAGGCTCTGTCCTGGGTCCATTCCCCTTCCTGGCACCGGCATCCCTTCTGTCCCCGTGTGCCAGGACCCCAGGCAGGGCAGCAGAAACCCCTGCCCTTCCCACTGGCTTCTGCTGCCTCATGGGCATCGTGAACACCGTGCTGGTGTCCCCAGGCTGGTGACAGAGGGTGTGTTGTCCCCTTAGTGTCCTGTGTCCCACCCCTGATGCTGAGCCTGCATTGGAGGGGATGGAGCTCTTGGCTCCAGCCCTGTCTCCCTTGGCCAGCCCAGGGGAGGAGGGTTTGGCCGATCCCCCCTGCCAGACCCTTCCTCTGCCCCCAGGGCTCCCGTTTCCGAGGCTGAACCCCCTTCTCCTCTCGCAGGCTCATCCGACTACACCAAGACGCTCCCCGTCCGCGGCACCGGCAGCCCCGTGCAGCCCCTTCTCTTCGAGCAGACCCGTCTGCACCTGGAGGACGAGCAGAGCCTCCCGTGAGCGGGGCCGGGCCCTGCCGGAGCTGCCCGGCCCTGCCCGCGCCCCCGGACACGATCCCGGCACAGCCCGTGCATGTTCCCTGGCGGTGGGTCGGGGCTGGGGCCGTGTTTCCCGTGGGCGGTGTCCGTGGGGCCGGGCGGGGCGTTGGGTTCCGACGGGCAGAGATGAAGGACGGACACTACCGATGTATATTTTGTACACAGCGAGCACAGCCCTTTGCTGTCACTGCCCCTGTACAGACAGAGCCGTGGCCTCCCCGCCGTGCCGGGCCGCGGGCAGCGGGGGCCGCGGAGTCACTCCCGGCCCGTCCCGCAGGGCCCGGCGCTGCCCACGCCGTGTGCCTTGTTCTGCTTCTGCGGGGGGGTCCGGGGCGCGTCCCCCCCACCTCCCGTCTATGTTTGTAGGAATAAACACGTGGAGCAGCCCCGCGCGAGTCCCGAGTGCAGGGGGGGACAGGGAGGGGACAGGGCGGGGAACGGGGACAC